CCAGCAACAGGATTGTGGACAAAGACTGGCAACATGAGTATTGCACGATGGTCTCACACGGCATCGATGCTGGGCAATGGAAAAGTCTTAGTTGCTGGTGGGTATGACTACAATGGCTTCTCGAATAGTGCAGAACTCTACGACCAAGCAACAGGAATATGGACAAAGGCTGGCAATATGAGTGTTGCACGAAGCTATCACGCGGCATCGATGCTGGGCAATGGAAAAGTCTTAGTTGCTGGTGGACACAACATCAATGGCTATTTGAATAGTGCCGAACTCTACGATCCAGCAACAGGAATGTGGACAAAGGCTGGCAACATGAATATTGCACGATGGTTTCACACAGCATCGATGCTGGGCAATGGAAAAGTCTTAGTTGCTGGTAGATTTAACTACGATGGCTACTCGAATAGTGCAGAACTCTATGACCCAGCAACAGGAGTGTGGACAACGACTGGCAACATGAGTATTGCACGATTTTCTCATACAGCATCGATGCTGGGCAATGGAAAAGTCTTAGTTGCTGGTGGACAGAGCTACGATGGCTACTCGAATAGTGCCGAACTCTACGATCCAGCAACAGGAGTGTGGACAAAGACTGGCAACATGAGTTTTGCACGATACTTGCACACAGCATCGATGCTGGGCAACGGAAGAGTCTTAGTTGCTGGTGGATATGGTTATTTTGGCAATTCCAACTATGCAGAATTATATACATGATCGGTGTTAGACTGAAATATCACTCATTATACTGAAACTTGAACTTTTTATTTATTCTACTCTATTTATCCTCCAATTATTTGAGAAAGTTATGACTATGACAATGTCTTATATCTATTTCGAATCAAAGATACGTTTAAAGAAACTTTTTCATTGTCACCCATTAATGTTTAACATAAGACAGGAAACAATAAGAGAGTATACCATAGTGTATATAAGCATGTAGCTCGATTTTCGCAAACACTTTACCCACTTTATTTACAAATGAGCTCATTCCTATATCATTTTGTAGAAGTTTGTGATTAGTGTCTATCAAATAAAAATTACGGATATTCAATGTTCGTTTCGAAAGATAGCACTATCACACGTTTTGAGTTTTTTGCGTTACGCGAACAGTGAATGCAGGCGTGTGGGCCATATTTTCTCGAGACACCTAAAACTTAAGTAAAATTTCAACTACTAAATAGTCATTGTTCATTGTCGTATGACAAATCTGTGCAGGAACTGTTTAGTTATATCATAAAAGCTAGCCAAAAGAGCTTATTGACAATACTTGAGAATAGTACTGAAATTTGGCCAAGAGAAATCTCTTAAGCTGCGTTAATGAATCGAGTGAAATTTTCTCTGTCAACCCCTATAAAAGAAAATCCAGCACTCGCGAAGAACTGCCAATATCTATAATATAGACATCAATGTTTTTTCTTGGATCGCTATAGAACTAGGAATTTCCGAAATCAAGACATATCCCAACTCTGTTATGCCGCTCTTCTCGGGAAAAATTACTTTTTTTTTCTGCTTTGAACAACATTCACAACATAAAGTGGTTTTGTATGACAAAAGTAATGATTCAAAGATGAAAGGCAGATAGAATCATCCAACGAAAGATATTATACCCAAGACAGGCGAACAGTTGAATGTGCGTTATGCTTGTCAAGGACTTCAAACAATCGTTTCGCTGTCCGATTTTTGTGATCGATGCTCTATGGATTATATTGGAAATTAAGAATGATAAAACAATCGACTTGTATTTCAAGCTTGTTGGTCGAGTATTGGCTATACTTTGATTTCAACGCGTGTGCTTGTCACATTTGTCTAACAGTGGATTATTGTGATGGACAAATACTACTTACAGGATGAGTTTTGATAGAAAAAATAGCGTTTCTGTACGCTATTGAGAGAACAAAATAGAATAAAATACAGATAGAAAAGAGAAATCTGGTGCTTATTGACTGTTCTCCTATCACGTTGAGACGAATTTAGTCTTTGTATGTTTGAGGACGACAGAAGACATAAACCATATCAAGTTCCACATAGATTGTGATTAAAGTGTTTGTATGCTTAGATTGTTATGAATATTCGTTCAGCTTGTTTTTCACTTTTTGCAGTATCAGTCACATAACCTTGAACTTAGTACAATGCTTTTTGAGTGTCAAATATTTTTGTTGCACAACGAGCCTGGAATGTATCAACAATGAAGTCATCAGCAAGGGTTAATGCTTTTACTCTAATTTATATGGTGATGAATAGCAAGTACAATTTTCAAGTTGTTGGCGTTTGATTTCTTCGGAAACTATGTGCCAGATATTACGATTTCGCGATCAAAGTTATAGTAGTTCCAGAGATCTAACCACGATCCACAAATTGGCAATTCAAGAAATTCTAGAAATTCAAGAAAGACACATAAAATACTAACTCATAAGTTTACATTGCAATGGAATTCAAGAAAATCAAGCAATTCCAGAAATTCGAGAAATTTTCTTGAATTGCTTGATTTTCTTGAATTCCTTAAATTCTACCATACCGTTTACGAAGAAGATACCTTCACCCTCACTCTCCAGATTGCTCTGGAATTCAAGAAAATCAAGCAATCCTAGAAATTCTAAAAATTTTCTTGAATTGCCCGATTTTCTTGAATTTCAGCATAATGTTCAGGAAGAGGATGCCTTCATCCTCACTCTTGAGATTGTCTTGGAATTCAAGAAAATCAAGGAATTCAAGAAAATTTCTATAATTCCTTGATTTTCTTGAATTTCTTGAATTCCAGTGTAATGTTCACGAAGAGGATGCCTTCACCCGCACTCTTGAGATCGTCTTGGGATTCAAGAAAATCAAGAAAATCAAGCCATTTAGGAGATTTAAGGAAATTGGAGGGATTCAAGAAAGACACATCAAATATGGAATGATAACTTTAGACTATGACATAATTCAAGGAATTCGAGAAAATCAAGCAATTCAAGAAAATTTCAAGAGTTTCTAGAATCGCTTGATTTTCTTGAATTTCTAGAATTCTTTGAATTCCATTATATTGTTCACTTATAGCTCACTATCTTATGTATCTTTGTTAAATTCCTTGATTTTCTTGAATTGCCAACTTTTGGATCGTGGTTACTGCTGTAATTCCATCGTGTTTTTCATTGTAATCCCTACGTGATTATGCTGCGAACTTTTTTCCTAGTTTCAATGAATATAGTGCTAACTGTCTTTCGGTAACTTGTTCTTCGTTTACCTTTTTTTTATTGTTCATATTCGTTTACGATTTCTGTCCCATTTCTGTTATTAGGTGCGTCCTTTATATTCCATTGTTTAGTTCTCTATTTAAATGCATGTGTCTCTGAAGCTATACTTTCTGATTTTGCTGGCTATCAGTGGCAATAATATACGCACAAATATTCAAGTAACTTCCATAAGAGCCATAGTTGTATTTGTCGCAAGTATTTGAGAAATAGTATTAAAATCTCGCATAACAATCCAGTGCAGTTCATATTCGATACAGATATTCTTTATCTATATCTAAAAGAAAATAATTACTATTATGCTTTTATTGACACACTGCATCATATCGCATTTTTAAAAAAATCAATACTTTGGGAAGCCTAGAAAAAGGGATTTCCGAAACTTTGAATATCTTTTTTCAACTTGAAAAATACTTAAAGGGTTTTTGAGAACGAGCCAAAACTCCTTTCAGCATAAAAACGCTGGAAAACTCTATTTTTTTGTGTATCCGACAGTAAGAGTCTTTTTTAAATATATATAGTAGAGATCACGATTTTATACAATGATTCCATCAAATTCACATGTTAACAATCTCTAAGTAAAATAGAGCCTGTAGTAGATATCGTAAATTAGTTATCCTATGTTCGAACAAAATCCATCTTCCTATTGTCTATGTGATAGCTTTGGAAAACGTGCCCTCTATGTCTGAATATATCTTCGACGATCCAATAAAAACTATTTAAATGAACCTGTGGGAATAATACCACTTTTCTGAAGACATTGCAAGTCTTTTTTGACGTGTGACTTCGACTACTAATTAAATGTCTGGATAGATTTTTGAACACAAACCACTTGAATCTTCTATACATTTTAGAGAAATCATCAAAATTTGAAGACCACATCAGCTTCTATTGATCATAATTCATTGACTATGAAAGACGAAAGAAGAAAGCTTTTGACCAGGGATTACGATTCTTTTCTAGAACGAAAGTGGCTCAAATTTAACAGATGGATTCATAAATTTTCCTTGAAACAATAAAACAAAAAGTGGGAAAATCTTGGCCTCGGTAGGTTTTTTATCATCGAAAAGCCTTATTCCGATGATTATTCACTTGAAAATCCGCGATTAATGTACACTAGAGTTCGAACCGATAAGGTTTTTTCTTACCAAAATCGGTACTGGTAGAAACGGACTGACTGGTCAATATACCGGCATCAGTCATTCTTGATTTTTCTGACCCTGTAGCAGTGAAATCAATACAGTAATGATATAACAGTCCTCTTTTTAGTGCTTTTTTAGTATTTATTTCCATAAGCATTTTTATCTCTTCGTATCTATTGGTGAACAGAAGATTTTATAGGACTACAAACTTCCTATGAGCTTTCCAAATCGATCAACGGTTTATCAGACACGAACTTTATTAATTAATTGTATATATTTTATCTGCTTCCCACATTATATTCGCTTTGTAATCTGTTATGTCTGTGAGAAATATATTCTATAGACAGTAGGAAATATATAAATAAATCTATGATAAACTAAAATGCTAAACGATTATATAATTTTAATTTCATAATATAACTTGATATGAGTGTGTGTTAATAAAATATGATAAATATATTATGAGGAATTTCGACTAAATAAAATAGTCTTGCGCATCTATCCTCGTAGAAATAGTCTTTGGAATCAGTAAAACGTCTTTGATTTGCAAAGAAAAAAACACTTTTAAAAACTTCAGAAACAATCATACTGGTCGGTAAGAGATTCTCTACCGAACCGGACGAAATCGGCCGCTTACTGTTATTAGTTACAACTCTGGTGTAGACTATACTCCACCTAATCCCCTTCCGTATTAAAAGCTGTCGAAGACTTCTAACTGACCTTGAAAACTTTGTTCGAATTTTGCTGGCGAAAATAGAAAGTTTGTTGGAGAAATACCTCGAAGAGAGGATTTTTGATGAGGACAGGACTTGTAATATGAAAGGAGGTTTAATATCATACTAGAAGAAGATCATAACATTTGAAAAATACTTCTTATATGCAACGGAAGAGGAGAATGCGTATATATGATCATTATTGGCCTCCGAGCCGCGCAAAACACCAACTTAATTCACGCGAGCAAATGACCTATATAATATGTTTCTAGTATTCTGATGATTTGTTCAAAACGCATAGAAAAAGATCCAAGTCTTTTGGTTCAAAGAACTATTTAGACATTTAAAAATCAAAATAGCATAGCAAAAACAGAACTCAGGATGTCTTCCAGAACGCACCATCTTTTCCACGGATTCACTCGTTTTTACTCGTAGACAGTTCATATTCCAAACACCTTGTAAACATTTTATTAAATTTTATGCATAAGAAATTACGTTCAATGTAATCTAATAATGTCTTCAACCAGGAAATAAATAATTCATTGTCAACTGTAAGATAATACGATGTACGTATTTATTGATCAATGATTAGTACAAATAATATTCAGATCCATGGGTCTTTTGCATTCGAT